ATGGTAATAGGGAAAATGTGGAGAATAGCACGTAGAAAATGTTGGGGTTGTGGCACAGGTGCATATGAGTCACAGGTGCACCTGTGAAGCACATGGGACCCTGTCAGTAATCACCCATGCGAGGACATTGAGCAGTGTAGAGAAGGGGTAGGTGTGAGGCTGTCCCATATGTTGGTAAGACAAGCAGGCAGTCTCCAGTGGTTGTGCTTGCTCACCTGATTTGTTCATGTGAGAAACCCAAAAGTGATAGTAACAGGTTGATTTGATTTTCCAGATGTGGTGAAAGGACATATCAAAGCCAGGTAATGCTGAATGCTGTGGTCTTAGGAAGTGGATTGGTAGCCTTAGGTTTGTTGGTCATTATTACAGGCCTCCACGTATTCCAGAGACATTAAAATTATACCAATCAGTTGGAGTTAAAAAAAAAATCTACCTCCAAAGCTCCTCTTATGCCTGATGCCGACTCTGTTAAATGACAGTGACTAGACCTCAAGGCAAAAGTAAAGATGTTTAAAAGCAACCTGTTACTGTTAGTGCAATATGCTGTGTCTTCACCATAGCAGATGGCATGCTCGAGGCCATGGGCTCTGTCAGGAGCCTGGTTGCATGAAAGCCTCTTCTACTCTTTACAGTAAGACTCCCTGTTTTGAGAAGAACGGCCTCGCAGGAGAGAGCATCCGTTTGAAAGAGGACAGCCACTGCTTCTCCAGCACAGCAGGTGGGAAGTTGGAAAACTAAAGTGGGGAATGGACAAGGCTTTGGCTTCACTGATCTTCAGCTTCTCACCTAGGATGGTGTTATTCCAAGGGATTTTTCAGTATTTAGTGTGTGTCTTCATGCAGAGGTTGTTACATCATTACCAATGTATTTTCAAGGCAGCAGGTCACATAGAAATTCTCTTGTATTTCCTAGTGGGGGAATCACGATTCTCATGGCTCAAAGGTTATTTCTGTGTGTGATTAAAAGGTACTTGTGACTTGAGTTTGGTTTATACAGAAGAATTATTTCTTTATCTAGTTCAAGGAGCTCTATAAAGAGCATGAAAAAGTCGAAATCTTTGCCCGAAGGTGCCAGCAGTTTGTGTAGTGTAGCAAAAAATAATGACACAAAAGCAGATCTACTGCCTGCCAGTAAAAGCAGAATTCACATGTGTACATTTTGTGTAATTTATAAGTCTGTATCAGAAATACATTCACTGAATATTTTACACTGCTGGGGGGGAAAAAGGGTGTGTATTGAAAAGGAACACAAAAGGGAAGGAGGGGATGGATTCCAGCTTTGGGGGACAGCATAGGAGGCATCACCACGCATACTATTGCCCCAGGGTCTCTGTTGTATGTGATGCATTCTCCCATGTACCGACGTGGAGATACTGGGAGTGTCCACAGCACCGTGCTTGGGTGCCAAAGCCTGTGGCTGATTTCTGGCTGTTAGTGAAATGAATTCATCACAAAGCTCAAGTAGCTTAATCATGTTGATAAATGGATGGTGATCAGGTCTTAATACAAAACCAGGATATCTTGCCATAATAAAGCTCTGCAAAGTATCTTAAGAACATAGGAAAGAGGTCCCGAGTAAGAGACATGGTTTAGGCATATGCAAAATTTTGTGTCTCAGTATTGGCTGATTGAAGTTGAGAATAATGTCTTGACATCGAATGAAATCTGATGGGGTGATAAAGGACCTCTAACTAAAAGTTGGGGCTGCTTCATGAGGCCATTCATTACAAAAATTTTTGCAGTAGGAAAAAAAAAATCAAAGAGTTTTATTAGGTGAATAAAAAGAATTTGAAAGTTAGCTAGGAAAACATTCCAAGGGTAGGACTGCTACAGTATAAAGAAGGAATTTAACTAAGTACAGCTCATTAAAAAGGAGTCAGATGTCTATAAAAAACATTACTTTCTCACTGCATTTGAAATTTCTGTTAAAATATATTCTATTTATATATATAATTGCTTGTTGCTTAATTTATGCAGGTTTCTAAAGTCAATTTAAATAATTTCTGAAGGTGGGGTTTTTTTTCCATTGGTCTATACTGAAGTTTTAGCTTCTGGAGTATGTTACATTATTCTGTTATCATCATGTGGGCTTTTATTCTGTCTGTATTACTTAGGGCCTAGCAATACTCCATATGAAAGAATATGTTTAAGCCTGGAAAATGTATTCTTGAAGACACAATACCAACTTGTGTAGGTACAGACACCTTTTTGCTTTGGTATATTTTGCAGGGTCACAATACAACCTTTCATATTTAACCTTTTGTGGAATTAAAATGAAAACTTCATTGAAAGTTTTTGGCTTGTATGAATAGGGAAAATGACTGTAGTGCCATTAACCTCATTGTGCATATTCGAGTCATTAAAGAAAGGGGAAAAAATAAGGTGGAGACATAATTTCCATGAAGAAATAATGATTCCTGTAATTTTAGAAATTACAGACTGGAAAAAGTCACATGTCACCAAAGTTCAGGAATAATAATACATAAATAAATAAAATCCCATTAGAGATTAAGTTAAAAAGACCCTTAAGAAAGCACTGCTAACAGACTGAAGGAAGAGGAGTGTTATGAAGAGTAGTCGGGTGGGGTGGATGTCATTAACAAACCACCACACCTTTCGGATGAGATTTTCAGAAGAGCGTGGTGGCCTTGGGTGCTCACCACCTGTGGGTTCTCAGAGCAGTGGGCTCAACTGCCTGGGGCTGGACATCGCAGGGGTGCGTACCCCCAACAAACTACAGGGAGGTCTTTGTGCAGCCGGCCAGGGAGGATGCATTGACTTCTGTCAGCTCCAGAGAACTTGGCACAATCCCACCCTTTACGAAGAAGAAATAATGAGCAAAAGTTTGTGTTTTTATTGCCAGGTTGAGATTTTACAAGTTGAAGTCACATGTTGCTACAAATAGCAAAACATGGAGAAAACTGGGATGCTCATGTATAGACTACTGATGTGTCTACAAATAGTCCAATATCTAGTCCTTATAGTTGTATTTCTTATTTAGTGCACTACTGACCCTGTATTTATTGCAAATAGTTACATTTATTGATTCTGAAGGAGACCAGTAAATGTTTCATTTGTATTCTTTTTTTTTTCCTCATTTAAATTAATATGGGCTCCTCATCTGCTGTTAAAATGTAAGAGATCAGAAATGATGCTTGAATAAACACTGTAGTAATTTATGTAACGCCCTGGCAGTTTCAGATATTCAGCATCGTCCAGTGTTCCACTAGACAGATTTTCAAAAGCTGGCTTCTGTATTTCACACCTGCAAACTACAGCAATATTTAGTAGGAAGCACTGTATGCCTGCAATTAATTCTGAATGCAGAAGTGAAATCTGGCCCCATGCATCAAAGGGCTTGGGGGCCGTTTCTCCAGTTATTTGCTCAGCTGACTGTATTTGATCAGAGCTGATGTCCTCAGCGGTACGGTGAGGTTGACATACTTACAGGAATCCGATTGCATTAGGAATTGTGGTCACATTGCAGAATGACTAAGTCCGAGGCTTTTCCCTACTTCTTTTAGTGCTTTTCACCATTAAAAAAAACAGAGTGAGCATTGGTTGATTCTCTGTGTTCCATCTGGAATCATGACATTTGTATTTAAGTTTCATGTGAACAAGGCTCCAATTTATATTTCAAGGGTACTTACTTAGTTGTATTTAGGCCTTTTTCATTTTGTAGCTTGCAACTTCCTGGGACCAACTGCATCCCAAATAGTTGTCAGTCACGGTTCTTATGCTCATATTAGTTTCTTTGAGCCTTGCAGATCAAGATTTTCTGAAC